GCCTGTTGATTCGACCTCCAGCACGGCCTCCTGAACTGTGTTTACCCCCTGATTTGCCCGGCCTGTCGGGTCATCCCCCGGGACGACCTCCTGAACTCCGTGATCCCTTTGGTCTGCACGGCCTCCTGGGACGCCCTCCGGGACGACCTCCTCCTGAACTGTTCTGCCCCTCTGCCTTGCCCTGCATGTTAGGCCAAGCGCCTTACCTGCCCTGTTTCCTGGGCATGATCTGCCTGTTGGGTGGTTCCCCCGGACTGTTTTGTCCCCTTGGCCTGCTTGTGCGATCTCCCGAACTCTGTCGCCCCCTTGCCTTGCCCTCTGGCCACCCTCCTGAGAGTTCCTGGTCTGGCCCTCCTCCTGTCCTCCCTCCGCCCACCCTGGCTCGACTTGCCCTCCTCCTGTCCTCCCTCCGCCCACCCTGGGCCGGCTTGTGCCTTGTTTTTGGGCTGTTTTGTTGACCGTCTGGAGACGCTCGTCGGTGGGGGGGTACTGTCACGCTCTGCCGGTTGGCCATCCTTTGTGTTTACTTTTGAGTTTGGTATCTGCCTTGGTATGTTGAGTTTTGGGTTCTGTCCTGTCTAGTGTCCAGTATCTGTTATATAGTCTGCTTGTCATGTCTAGTCTCTCTGTTTTCCTCTGCTCTCTCTCTCTCTGCCTCGTTAGTCTCATGTCTGTCACCTGTGTTACTCCCGCCCTGCTCGTTAGTCCCTGTGTATATATACCTGGTGTTTCTGTCTTGACCTTGTCCGGTCATTGTTCATGTTACCCCCCAGTCTGTCGTGTGTGTACTCTCTGCCTGTAACCAGCCTTGCTTGTCTCGTCTCGTCTCCCTGTACTTTTGGATTTTGGATTTCTGTTATTCAGCCACTCACCTGTAAGTGTGCTCGCTTTTGTTTGTTTATTAAAACCCCTTGTTGAACTATACCTGCTCCACTCTGTGTCCTGCGTTTGGGTCCTCCAACCTGCCTCCACACCACGATCGTGACAGTTAGCCTTTTATTGTTGTTGTTGTTGCTGTTGTTTTTGTGGTATTTCTTAGACAGTATACATGGTCAGCATTTTATACCTCAATGAGCCCCTCATGGCTAAATATGTGCCAGAATATCATTTTATAGGTCTGGAAGACAAAACTACCATTATTTTTTGCTGTTATCCACACATGTACTTGCCATTTATGAAGCCCTCCATTATTGATCATCTTTTCTTCTTCTCTCCTCCAGTGGTGGACTCAAAGAGCACGACGTCATCATCTCGATCAACGGCCAGAGGATCGCATCAGCGACTGACGTCAGTGCCGCCATCAAGAGTGATGACACCTTGAGAGTAGTTGTGCGCCGTGGAAATGAGGACGCTATCCTCACGGTTGTTCCCATGGAGATCGACCCTTGACCCTCCACAAATCACACCACAGGCGCTGAAGCTAGGCTTTACTTATCACCAGTGGACCTTATATTGAAGGGGGGGCTTCTACTGACACACCCCTCTCCCTGTGGCCAAAGGCCAGTGGTGCCACACATCCAGGGAAAATTCTGGCTTTGCCTCAAAAGGAACGACTGTGCAGATGCTCTAAAAGCAGTGCCGTACTTTGTTTTCAATGTGTGTTTTCACTTTTAGTCTTTAATGCTTTGATCAATGCAACTACTGTTTGGTCACAAACATAAAAAGTTGGTTGCTGCCGTATTGTTTTTATCTGCTTTCTCTTGTGTGTCTTTTTTAATATGGACTTTTGCTCAGTCATGCCTTCCACTGCAATTTTAAACAATTTAGAGACTCGCTGGGCAAATCTGATTTGTATAATTGTTGTTTTCTAAACTCTTTTTTTTTTTAAAGTACTGTAGAATGTTTTTGTTGATTATGTGATGTATACTGAGATAATAAAGGGTTTGCCTTCATTTGTTTTGACACTCACCGGGCTGGCTTTCTCACTTTCTTTCCATCTCTCTCACTCATTTTCACACACACATTTTGACATGTACTGCACCCAGGCAGACATTACAATATTTTCTTTGTGTGTGTGCAGAGTTTGCTTAACCATTGCTCGTGCACGCGCAATCACACAAAGGGGACATAAAACCAATCGGGATCTGGTTTAAATTTGATTTTACTGCCTTCATACGGACTTGATAGTGGTCTGGTGTGATTGTTGGGCCAGGGACACTGCAGGCTGACCGCAGAGACAGGAATGCGAGCCAAACAGAGATCTGACCCACGATGCAGTGGCCACATACGTGGGGCTTGCATGAATACACTTAATGTTTTGGTAGAGATTTTTGTTTACCACACACATTTTGGGAGAAGACAAAGTAGACATGAGAATTACAGAAACCACCAAACTCTGCAAACAAAATTAAGATTTACAAGAAGGTTTCTGACTGAAAACTCACTAAATGTGAAATCTGCAATGGAAAAACTGCAGAAGTGAAAATCTTTCTTTAATTTAACCCACCAGCTTTACAAGTATGTTTAGAAGACAGAAGAACATATTTTGTCATTCATAGCTTAGCTACCCAGTTTTTACATTTGAATTTCAGACCATGCCTCTAATAACCAGTGGATGTTTATCCTTCACACCCTGTTTTTTTATTCCCATACACCACATGGAAGCTAAATTACAGAAAAATGCTTCCCCATGATGTTACGCAGCCCACAGGCATGTATCATATTCACACATCATTTAAAGGGTCTGATGGACAATATTTTGACTTGTTTCAGTTAAATATGATCGCATTGTGGGCACCCAACTGACAGATGTTTACATTGCAGTCAAAGGCCAAAGGTGCAATTTTGAAGAAGAAAAACGCTGACAGAAGGAAGAGTTGCTGCCATCTCATGGTTTTGTGTCAAAATTGCAGTCCCTCATCTTAATTTACCCATATAACTGTGTTGCATATATTTCGGGCAGATGTTATACACAAAGTTGAAATTCTATGTTTTTATTTTGCTTGGCAATGGCACTGATTCCTGACTCATTTATTACTGCAAAACATTCAGAGAGATTACAGTATACATAACATTGAACTCAGCTTTAAACTTTGCCTGTTAAATGAAGTAATAACTGCCAGACTGCCAAGACCTGAGCTCAAAACCATCAGTCATCGAGGGCACGGCTGTATTGCCTCACCCCCTCTGAGCCTTGATGTGGACTGACTTTTTACTTCGGTAATCAGTTTTATTTAGCAGGGACACAACACATTAATAAAACACTGAATTAAATGTACCAGAATTAGCCAGAATACTATTTTTCATCTGTAGTCCCTGGACAGTTGTTACATATTCCTCCTAAAAAAACTAATAACCAATATAAAATTAATTAACTTAACAGAGTCATTTAAAATTAAGTCATACATTATGAAAGCATGCAATAAAATTTAGATAAAAGAGTACATGCAGTGGTCAGAATTTTGTATGTTTAACACTGGCTGAATATGCTTATGAATGTGCTTTTCAGAATCTAATCTTGCCCACACGATGCACACTGATGAAAAAACATCTGGTCATTTGGGTAATTGTGATCGAAGATAAGATTCTTCCTTATCTAAAAAATGTGTTCATATAATAATACAAATACATATGTTCATGGATTTGCCAATTACCTGTTCATATCATGACATTACAATAATATTGAGAACACCTGAATACCATGATTAAAAATATAGGTATATACAGTATGAGTCATTTTATATTTGGTTGACATGGAGAAAAAACTCCACACGAACACCTAAAAAAACATTGCAAATGCCTCCCATGAGAAATTAGTATCCTTCCATTTCTTAACCGAGACCAGCCATTTCCACCCATGCCCCATCTTTATAAGGACTTCCATGCTTTGTAGGAGATGTTGTGACGTGTGATACAATTGGGACCACTTTGCCCTGCAGACCCAGACTGTTTATAACACACTATCAATTCATTTGACACCATCTGCGCCCCAGACCACTGCTGGTTATCTATATTGTTTCTATTTCCAGCATGCTGCAGGTGTTTCAACATTCAGTCAAGCAAGCATACAACAATCACACAAGGCTGTATAGAATTACATTTCTATGGTAGACTTGATTATGTTTTATTAAGGCTACATGTAGGGATTATATTAAAGTAGCGCAATTCTTTTCCCCCTTTTTTTCCACATTTTATTGTGTCAAGATAATAATACTGTGGAAAACAACCCCTTAATGATACAACTAAAGTGACTTGAGCATGAAATAGCTTCAGTAAATTGAAGTAGTAAAACAAGATCCCCTTGGCAAACCAATTCAATTCCTAAATGCTGCTCATGTACGTTAGGGGTTTAAAGGGTTGGTTCACTCCAAGCACTCTCAAAAAAAGAAACACATTTTCTCACTTATGTCAGTAGTATATTTAGCCATAAGCAGTTTTGATTTTATTTGCCCATTGTTTTGAGATATGAGTATTAACCGCCACTCCAATACAATGGAGGCAATGGAAATTGTTTGTGAAGCACACCACATTAAAATATTATAAACTATATATTATATATTAATACTAATGAACTTCTATTTTCAGAAAAAACGCCCTGTTTTCAGTTGAACATTTCATTGGAAGTATATTTGCTGAACAAATAGTCTAGTCCTATTAAAATTGTTGACAGTTTTGTATTTTGACTTAAACCAGCCTTTCAACACTATAAATACTACAAATCCATCTATAGTTCCCATATTTACATTCAAGCCGTGTAGAGGTTTTAGTTTAAAGAATCATGAAAGGCACTCGTTATAGCCTGAAGGTTATGGTATCCGGAAGCTGCTTAATGTGGGTCATACCTGTTTAAATGCTGAAAGCAGACGACACCATCAGTAACGTTTCTTGTAGGCACGTCTTCAAGTTTAAATCAACTAATGTGGTCCACCAGCGTCCCCTATCGTTTATTATGGTTTCAGTTTTAAACCAATCAGAGTGACGTTTGCTGACATGGTCTCAAAGCACAGGAAAACCTCCCTGCCGTTGATTGGCCGGTTCCCTTCTTGCAGCGCACTACAGGGAACGACGGAGGAGGGAGGGGATATTTTAATGGCCGTCAGTAGCAGTACAGAATGCAAAAAGTCCGGATTATCCTCTGTATTTAGACTGTGCTAGCTACGGGCGCGTTTTGACCGCTTTTTTATAGTAACGAGCATTACTCTGGGGACATATTCGGGTTGGAGATGTGTTTCTAGTGTTGTTTCTACTGCGCTGAACAGACTTTACCCGCTTGATTTGTGCGCGAGTGGGAGATCAGGCCTAGCCGGCTGGCTTAAAAACAAGCGGACATTTAGCTAACTAGTCACAGGAGTTGGAAGGTAACAGTGTGTGTTGCTATTTTTTTGTACTAACAATAATATCTGTATTCAAATGTATATGTTAAACGACTTAATCGTATTTAAGACCCATTCGACACAACATATAACCCGTCAAGGGTGAAAATGTAAACAGGGGACTAACGTTAGCAGTGTTAAAGCTAACGGCTAACTTTATAGTAACTTTGCAAGCAGGAGCAGGCCTAGCTAGGGTTAACAGACGTATACAAGTTAACTGACCTGTCAGTGTGACGTTAGCTAATGTAATTAAGTCAAAGTTTCACTCAAGTTCAACCAAATCGCTCTAGTTTCGTATCGTATTGCTCATATACGATCGGTAATGATATTTGAAAGCTTTGCTGCTTCAGCTAGCGAGCTAGCCATGCTAACTTGGTGTGCTATCAACCAATAGTTGACACATGACTTATGAGCTAACTGCAAGTTAACTAACCCAACCTTGCCAGTGTGATCTTTGAACATAATCTCTTTTACTTGTTCTGAAAGGTGGTAAGTTACAATGCTGCGTCATGAACGTTTTATATAACGTTATTTACCCGTCACACACATCAACGTAACGTTAGTTAAGCTGTGAATTGCCTGACGTTTGTAAAGTTTATTCGAAGCTGGGGGCTGTGTTAATATGTCCTCTGCCTCTGTTCACAGGGAATATGTAACATAAAGCAACCGACATGACATCCAGATTCGGTAAAACGTACAACCGCAAGGGAGGGGAGGCTAATTCTAAATTTGAAGAGGTCTTCTCCAATAAAAAGCCCACTTTGACCACCAAATGGGGGGAGACCACCTACAAGGCTCAGCTGGGGGCCAAAAGGCCCCAGTTAAAACCTGAAGTTTCAGAGCTTCCCAAGAGGCCCAGGCTTGAGGACAGTGACAGTGAAGAAGACCCGTTTGGGTTTGACAGTGATGAGGAATCTAAGAGTGTTACCTCTCACAGTGTGTCCCAGTCAAAAATCAATGAAGGGGACATGATAAAGACAACCGCAGTGCAGGGCGGTGAGACAGCCTTTGTTGTGACTTCTGCACAGAGCTCTACAAGTTCAATAACCAAGTTCACAAGTAAGTAATCAATACAACATATCTGTATGCCCTTAAGTATGCCCCTGACTGTCTTATGTTCAAACAATAAATTTATGATCTATGATTATGATGAGGCTACCTGTCATTTCATTATTTATCTTACCTGTTTATTTAATTTATAGCATCTGCTAGCCATTTTTCTGCAATATCAGTTGTGTTGTGTGACCACCTGTGATTTTCTTCTCCATTCATAGGCAAGCAAACATCTGAAGTGAAGGTTGTTAAAAATAACCAGCCCTGGTTCAAAAGTACATCAGACAGCAACCAAAAACCTGCATGCACTGCCTCGTTGTCAAACACAGTCCCCTCTGATGATCAGAACTTCTCAGTGTCCCAGAGGCCCATCTCCTCTCCCAACATAGACACCTCCCTGTCCACTAATTCACCAGGTGGTAGCAGAGATGTCCAAACTGCTTATTTTTGTGATGTACTGCCATCAGAAGAGATGAAAAGTGCTGAGCTCGAGCCTCCCACAGAACCTCCACCGGCACCAGTGGACAACATTCCCCCGTCCCCATTTACCCTTCGGGCCTCAAACTGCAAGAAATACCAGCGGCCCAACAAGTCTGACAAAACGTCCTCTGAACTTGCTGAAGACAACAGCAACAAGCCCACTGAAACAGCTAGTGCCCAAGGTAAACCCAACAGTGTCCTTTCTGCTAGTGCAAGTAGTTCTGCTGTCAAAGCTAAAACAGCAGCCAAGCCCGCAGGCAGGGGCGGTGGGAGGGTACGGGACTACACCGTTCTGCACCCTTCCTGTCTGTCAGTATGCAACGTCACCATCCAGGACTCGATAGAGCGGAGCATTGATGAACTGGTTACCCCAGCTGCTCCTGCTGACCTTGGAGAAGCAGGCCAGATGAAGAAGAAGTCAGACGCTCCCCCACCCAAACCTACCAGGTAAGTCTTTTGTATTTCTATGTGTCTTAACAGCCTGTGTTGTTATCAAAGATGTCTAAGCCAGAGAATTATAGATATGTGGTATGGTTAAAATAATATCCCAAGTTTTCTTACTGTTTGACAAAATTGATGTTAGTTAAACCAATAAATGTGTGAGTTAGTCAGAATTTTGCATGTGTGAAGTATTCATGTTTCTAGTACTATGCGTAGTAAAATGAACCAACCACAAATAATGAGCATGATTTTTGTGTCGCTTATCCACACACACACTTTACAACAATGTGGCTTTGAACACCCTGTCTTCACTGAATCCACCATGAGTACTGAAGAGTAAAAAATATATGTTCAAACACTGAGGAGCAAAATGCATACTGTTTTAGAGGTATGGGACTTTTAATGTCGAAGTGTTAAAGGGAAAACTGTTAGGCTTATATTATCAGGTATGGCTTTGTTAAAGTAATTGCCATTACAAAATGGAGTCAAAAAAAAAGTAGTATTCAAGTAGTATAATTGCGCGCAGTGGTGCGCAAGGCTTTTCTTTTTAAGGCATGTACTGTGCTTCAAGGTGTTAGAGTTTGAGATCTATACACACATTTCCTGCTTTTTGGCAAGTGGGATTAATTATAGAAATGTTAGTTATGTTAGTATACTGTGTTATCTCTGTCACAAATGTTTTGTTATAAACTGACAGGGTAAAGGGAGTACTACTTTCCCTCCTTTTTTAAAATTGTCTGACAAGTATAGGTTACCAAATGATTTTCATAAACATAGCATGGCGTATACAGATCAATTAGATGGATTTATTAGTGGTTTAGCTTTGGAAATAATGCTCAGATCACATCTGTTATCATAAAATCCTGTGGTTGGTTTGTTTGCTTTCACACCACAATTGAACTGCACCAGAAATCGTTTGAAAGCGTACCTAGACCACCTCTTCAAGGAGGTCTCGGTACACTTGTTGGGTGCGCACCAAATGTGGAACAAAGTGCAATTGCACCATTCACACCTGCCCAAACAAACCACACCAAGGGGCAAAACAAACTCAGAATTGCAGAAGCTAGCTCAAAACCATACTGTATACATCTAGCTGGGTATTCTAATATCATGACCTGACTCAGTGGACTTATTATATATAGAATTATTTACTTAAGTCCGCTATTTGGTGACAAGGCCATTAGTGTGCAGTGTTTCCCACAGAATGTGGCGGCGGCTCACGTGCAGTCAGTATTGACTACCAGCTATATACAGCATGCTAGCGTCAAACCCAGGTGTTTTCTAAAATTAACTTAGCTTTCCTTATCAGCTAAGCGCGTTACATGCTTGCTAATAACTTTTTTTTTTAAAGCTGAGTCTCTGACATTGACAGTGTGCATGAGGGAGAGAGAGACAGGGACGAGCGAGAGGATGTGCTGCGCGAACACGCTACGGCACTATGCAATCAAATACAATTTTTAAATAGGCCTAGGAAAAAAAAAAAAAATAATAAATTGAAAATCAATCTGTGGCAGTCAGCCTTGAGATTGTGGCGGGCCGCCACAAATAAATGAACGTATGGGAAACACTGGTGTGTGTGTAGTATCAGTGGTCCATATTATTGTTTCATGTTTTAGTGGTTTCTAAACTGTAATATTGTGTTGACTTCTCTGTTAACAGTAGTCTGACTTGACCGCTCCTTACTTCTGAATTGTGTCTTATTTTTTCAGCATCAGTTGGTGCTTTTTTTTTCTTTTCTTTTTTTTGCTTTTCCTACTCCATTTTCCTCTTTCCCACACTCTCAGTAAAAAAAAAAATATATACCCACAACAATACAAACAAACAAACTAACCCTCTCACTGTATGCTCACAGGTTCAGACCCACCCAGACAAAGGCCAAGAAGACCAAGGCTGAGACCAAGCTAGAGTTTTTCGGCTTTGAGGACAAGGAGGACTCGGTGAGCGAGGAGGGTCCAGAAAGTGGCATGGCAGGCAAGAGTAGCTACAAGATCAAGTACTTCGGCTTCGACGACCTGAGCGAGAGTGACAGCGATGATGAGAGCTCTCGGGCCAAAGAGAAGAAGGCCAAGAAGGCGGCCGCAGCCTTAGCTTCTCTGAGCTCCAGTGTGGACAGCCCGCATACCAGTGACTCTCAGGACAGCCAGGCCAGTAGCAATACAGGTGAGCTGATCCTTAACTTCCAGAGACATGGTCATCTCAGTACTCTCAATTTAAGGAAATAGTTCATCTCTGTGCAATTGTGGTTATATGGTGATCGCAATTTGGATCTTGACTTAAGTTTACTCCAGAAGCTACTTTTTATTTTTACTTTTTATCTACACCAACAAAGCCACATTCACCCCCCACCCCTCCTTCTTTCTTAATTGCTCAAAATCACACAGAAGGAAAAAAATGACTCAAACCAGGTTATGTGTAAAGTCATTTTTATTTTCTCATTGCTTGTAATACTTCTCCCCATATAATTTGAGTGTTCTTTTCAAGGGCTATTGTCTTTTCCATTTTCTTTTTTTCCAGTGTAGGAGGGTATGTGGATTTTTATTAGGTTTAATCCAGAATCGTCTAAAACATGCACTTTTTTTTTCAAAACTTGGGAGAGGTTGCATTGACTACTGTACAATGAATGCATTAAAGCTAAATCTTATCATTCACATATTGATCATTTTTTGGCATCAACAATCTGGTTTCTTCAACAGATGCTTTTGACTTCTCTGACGAAGCCAATCCTGGCGGCACTGAGGGGCAGAAGGGACGCTCAGGGAAGCCAAGTGACAAATCCAAGGACATTGGCGGCGGACTCAAAAAGATCTTCAGTGGACCCAAAAAGGTTTGTGTGTGTGTATTCTCATCTAACCTGTCTTCGTGACCTTCTTCCCGACCAGGGTTTACCTCGGGTCTGACACTGCTTGGCTTTGTTTAATTACATTTACATAACAGAGTACCCAGCGTATCTAAAAATAGACTGGGGAGAAGAGGAGAGCATCACAGAAAAATTGGGCAAGGAGGCGTGAAAGAAGCTAAACTGAAACCTACATTTATTAGATTGTCATTTATTGTGACGTAATTGTGCTGCAATTGCGCTCTTGAGGTTCGGAATGGAGGCGCCTGGAGATTAACTTATGACAGCAGTCTCATGTGAATGGGTTAAATGTCCAGTGGCTTGCACCATACGTGGTCTTCAAGTATGATTTGTGGTATTGTCTGTAATGCCCACATTTGCTCTGTTTATCTAGATCATCTTTTGCATTGGCTTTGGGTTATTTTTGCTCTGTCTTCCTAATTCTGTGTGTTTATTGTTTCTACATCATCGACAAAACTCTGTATATTGTCTCTGCAATATGTAATTGAGTCACACAATGTGTCATTTTCAGGAAATGTTTTGTGCTGCTTGGGGACTGTTGTGCTCCACACTGAGGCTGCTGTTGTCTCAGTCTATCACTGTGATTGCAGTATGTAATACATATGCGTTCAGTCATGCTAATTCACAACAGTAACTAATAAGCTACAAGGGTTTATGTAGATTAACATGAAAGTGTTTCTATGTAGTCTTTGTTCATGTAGGAAGTGCTTTGGGTTTGTGAAGATTTTTGCAGTGAATCCATCAGTAAATGAATTAATGAATGCACTTGAAACACTGCATGTGTTATGCTGTGTCTCTGTTTAGCTAACTAACCAATTTTTAAATTCTTACTGGGTTGCAGTCCCCTGCTAAAGCTGTGTACAACGCTCGCCACTGGAACCAACCTGAGCCTGAAGAGATCCCTGTGCCTACACTTTCTCGAACCCAAACTGCCCCGGTAAAATACTGCTATCTTAGACGTTATTGTTGTTGTGTTTGGCTCTATTGTGTTTAGGGCTGGGCAATCTTCTCTATTTTCATATTGTCTAATCATGGCTACTTATGATCGCTGATTGGTGATCTGATTACCAGGGGGGCAGTGTTGCGTTGCAGCAGCCGGTGAAATGTCAGCATGGTAGAAAAAGGCTTATTAGCTTTAAGAGAAACCACCGGAAACATCTGTAAATGCACAGTACAGTGTTTCCCACAGAATTACCGTGTAACTCTTGGCACCGCGCACGGGTGGGTGGGTGCAGTTGAATTTGAACAGTTGAACAGCAGCTATGTACAATGTGCTAACCTCGACAACCCAGCTGTATTCTAACATAGCTATACTTACTAGCTAGGCTCCTTACATGCTTCCTTATAACTTATTTGAAGGTGGGTCCACGACATTGACAGCTTATAGACAGACTAACTTCTTAGAGGTTACTTGGATGTATTATTTTTTCTATAAACACACGGCTCCGTTTGTGTATGTGTGAGAGAGGGAGCGAGCAAGCGCTGATATTGAAGCGTGTCGTTTCGACACAAATAATCAGTGAGTGGGAAACACTGCAGTGTGGTGCAGATTCTAAAAACTTTTATGTCATCTTAGTTCTGATAGTGAGTTAGTTAAAATCACCTTAATATCAACGCATGAAAAATCAATCACAGATCATCCCTTCAATCGTCGATAGCCAATCCAATCACCAATCGTAACAAGCCTAATTGTATTGGGTTTGTTTGTTTGTTTTTAAGAACAGTTAGGGGAACTATCGGGTGAAAATGATGAATTTGACGTTTAATGTTCTCATTTGAAATGGATGCATTAATTTTGCTTGCAAAGCAGGCAAACAATTACAGGGTATTATGTCAAGCAAATGCTAATAACTAATACTGTTTGTTTACAGAATTCCCCATTCCCTACTGTCCACAATCCAGGATATTGTTTATTGGTCTCTTAGTAGTCAGCCGTTTTGTTTAATTGCTCTAATTAGTCTCTTTCCGATCACATGGAGTTATTTTCCCAAACAAGTGAACCTGGGTTTACTTACATATTCTGTGTTGAATTCCCACCATGGAAATAATTGCTTGTTCAGAGACAAACTAATCAGAGTCTGGGATTTAAAAGTTGTGTTTTAACTTTGCACCACCTAATATGACATCTGTTAACAACACTTATTAAAGACTTGTGTGCTTAACAGACTATTCAGCTGTGGTAAATCTTGCGGACATGTCATTAAACAGATTTTGTTGCATTGGTATGAGCCCCATTTCTCCGCCTCTTTTCTTCCTCAGGCCATTTTATCGAGCAGCAGCAAGGACAGCAACTCCCATAAAGATGATGGCTTGTTCAAAGCCCCTCCACCTCCGCCCAAAGTCATTAAGACAGAGACCCTCCCCACACGACTTAACCAAGATATTGTCACAGCACTTAAATGCAGGAAGGAGCACAAGGAGGTGAGTCTGGAGCACACGGATGTTTTTAGACATTTCCTGAGGTGCAGGGGGGGCAGTTTGTACTACATTTGTTTGCATGCTGCTATGAATAAATCTCTTTTTCATACCCAGCCAAGCTGCCTATACCAATTTTTATGCATGTTATAAAGTAAAGGGATAGCAATCATTTAATGCATTTCAAGCTTGCTATTGTTTATTTGAACCCCAGTGTGGGTTTGAGGTAACAGTGAGGACTGTTGCTGTTAATTTAAACTCCCCTGCAGCTTGTGTCATTTACAGATGGGCCTTCTGGCCCCAGATCAGCTGGTTATCCACAGATCCCCCGAGGTTGAATGGCTTCCGCTAAGCTATCCCTACACACTGGTGTTCTCTTAAACTCAGGTCCTCCCTCCTGTGTCATGAGTGCACACACAGCATGACTGTTGATGCTGGTAAACATACAGTGTCGACTGCTGATCGGGCCCTAACTCCACATGCTGAGCTTTTATTGATGAGGGGCATTAGCACAGTCAGTTATTGCTGGTAATGGAACCAATAGAGAGGAATTTAACAACGAGAGTAGCTCGCTCACTGTGTTTGTGGGAGTTGATTGTGTGTCCGGACAGATGCGGTGTTTCCAATTAGCTGTAATTAACCCCATTCCCCTTCCAACAGCTGTACACGGTGGTGCAGCATGTGAAGCATTTCAATGACGTGGTGGAGTTTGGAGAGAATCAAGAGTTCACTGATGATTTTGAGTACCTGGAGACAGGACTGAAGAGCAGTCAGCCACTCAACACAAGATGCCTTAGGTAAGTGGAATAAAACACTTTGTGCTGCCTGTTTTTGTGGCGTTCTACAGAAGAGCCCTTAGATGCTCTAAGTCTACTCTGAAATGTTGATGGTACTGGTGTTTATTATTTCAAGTACCTCACTAAATTGATTGAATGGTACAAGCACCTGTCACCAACCATTTGTTCATGTCTTCTAGTATTGGCCTATTTATAAAGCAATTAGAGGAACAGCTGCTTTAGTTGATCCAGGCTTTGAAATATGTGCAACAATCCTTAATTAAACAAAACAATGACAATTATTATTCTAACAGAGAGCAGCAGGAGGTAGAGACAACAATTGAATATATTTTCCATAGACAATAAGCAGTTTTTTTACTCCAAAATATCTTGTTGAGATAGAATATACTAACTGATTGCATTGCACGTCTGGATGAAGAATCATTCACTTCTGTTCTTGTGGTTTTCATTTAAACTCTTGGGTTTTTGCCTTTACAGAGAGACAGTAAATATACCCATATTTTGTCTTTGTCTCTGGCTCCGTCTTTTTCTCTTTGTCTTGTATTTCCACCGCGTGTTGAGGTAATATGCCGAGATAGAGCACGTTTTCTGTGGTCTGATAAAGCAGATATCTGTTCTGTTGTGAAAATGGAATCCACTCCGGAGAGACAACCTTGATTTCAGAAAAAGCTGCAGGGAGTCCAGCCTCCTTCTTCTTTTTTTTTTAAAAGATTTTTATTTTTTTTTAAAGAGATTTTTCTGTCTTTACACATGTGGCGAAAAGAGAAATCCAAAACAGAACCTGTTGCAGGTGGAAGTGGTGATAGTGGTTTCTTTCCTATTCATCTTAGTTTTTAGCACACAACTGGTAAATATTTGACCCAGCATTTCTGTAATTAGAAATCTTCAGTTGTCCAGAAAAGTTGTCTGTGTGGTTCTCTGCTTGCTTTCACTCAAAAGTAATTTTGTCATTTAACCTGCCTTCATGACCTTTCTCCAGACCAGGGTTTACCTCGGGTCGGACACTGCTCGGCTAGTAACGGGCATTTCTTTTAATGGTATTGACGTTTAATGACTTTTACTTGACAGAGTACCATGCGTATCTAAAAATAGACTTGAGATAATGGGAGAGAGGAGCGCATCACAGAAAAATTGAGCAATGAGGCGTGAAAAAATCTAAACTGAAACCTACATTTATGAGGTCATCATTTAATGCAGTGTGATTTTGTGATTCAGTGTAAACAGTATTGTGTGCTAGAACTACAGTTGCAGACCTGAGGCTGTGATGGTGCCCAGAAATGAACCTGTGAGAGCAATCTCACTGATTGGGTTAAATGTTCAGTAGCATATACCTTACTTGGTCTTCAGGTATGAAGGGGGGTTGAATATTAATCCTTCTCTCCCTCTCTTTTTCTTCCTCTCTCATTGCTCCAGTATAATCAGCCTGGCCACTCGGTGTGCCATGCCCAGTTTCAGGATGCACCTGCGGGCCAGAGGGAAAGTGGCGCAGGTCTTCAAAATGCTCAGTGATGCTCCACAACACCCAGTCAGTAAATCCCCTCTTTCCTGTTACCTGCTTCTTCAACTTCACCTTTTTTGTCTACCTCACAAAATTTTAAGGAAAATATGGACACGATGACATTTGCCACTTTTAAGCAATTACTGCTACTGCTGTTGTTGTTGTTGTTGTTTACTTCTGAGATAGAAATGTATTTTCATAAGGTTCTGTTCCAAAGTTTTGAATCAGGGTGTGTTATGGTGCTTAGTCCTAGCTGGTGTGCTTAGCTAGTGAATAACTCAAAAGTGCATGGAGAACCCACACTGACTCTAATAAGGGAATCCCTTGATTGGACAAGAAACGGCCATACTTATCTAATTCCATAATTACAGCTAGTTATTTCAGAAGCTAATGACCGATAGTGTTGTTAATCTTTTTCTTTTTTTTTAATGTAGTGTGTTCTGTAAGTTTTACAATTTTATAAATGCAGAAGTTGTTGCTTCAAATATACACTTAAATGTATTGTTCACATTATATACGATGGCCTTATATTGGGGGTTTTAGATTGGAGTAGCCAGCAATGACAGGGTAACCCGCATGCTACAGAGCAGCTTTATAAAAGCTGGAATTGAATCTGAAGAGGCTAATGTTTGTTTTAATATCTTGATTGATTTGTAATTGCTAATGAAGAATTTTTTAATTTCAACAAGCCTGCAGTCATTTTAAAAGTCATCATTTCTTTTAATAATTGCCTTCAGGTCAAAGCCTTGAGGTGTTGAGTGCAGACTTCTAACCGTTGACCACCTTGTCTCACCTCTGCTTGTTCTGTACCACTTAAAAAAGCCGTTCTGTCTTGTTCTGTCAGAACCTTGGTCTGTGCACGGCCTCCCTGATGTACATTCTGAGTCGGGATCGTCTTAACATGGATCTGGACCGGGCCTGCCTCGAGCTCATGATCAAGCTGCTGGAGCTGGACCAGGACTACTCGGCCCACCAGGATCAGCTCACCGCAAAGGAGGTGGAAAAGGTTAAGGAGAAGATCAGGAAGCTGTGTGAGACCGTGCACAACAAGCACCTCGACTTGGAGAACATCACGGTGGGTTGTCTTTAAATAATGAAATGAACATTACAAAGCTTCACCTCTAGATGTACCTTTGTTCAAACATGACCACCGTCTCCAGTTGTTTCTTTAACAAGGAAAACTTCATAAAAACTTAAGGAGCTTCATTGGAAATGTTAGTACAAATCTAATCTGTCAATTTAGTTTTAGTGCACCTAACTTGTTCCTAAGCTGTGTTAAAGAATTTACAAACACATGTTTGTGGTTTTATTGTCATCTTTTTAATAGGGCTGGGCATGTTAACGCGTTATTATTGCGTTAAGGCATTAATTAATGCCGACAATTATTTAATTGCACGTTAACGCAGTTTTTTTTAAAATTATTATTTAGAAAGTCCGTTGCTCACTGGCTCTGAATACACATACAGTCACCGAAACAAACCTCTGCACCCTGTGTGTTCAATGCTGCATTTCAAGTTTTTAACAGAGTGAAGCAACCACATGCACATAAGACGAACGCTACACACCTTATTTGTTTAAAGTGTTTGCAAACCACATGTTATTACACTTTTCTTTTAAGTTGCACTCTACACTACTTTAGAATTCATTATTCAATTTTGCGCGCAACAATGCCATTAATCGCAAGAAAATCATTTTGATTAATCGCATTTTAAAAATTTAATCGTTGCCCAGCACTACTTTTTAAGAATAGTTGCATGTAGACACACTTATTCATCACAGTCACAATGATATTTAATAATTATCAAATGTGCTCATGTCCTTATTTTACTGTCAGATTTTAAGTTTCCCAGTGGGGGGAAAAGGTGTCATGGGAAATTAAAAAGCGTATGCAAATCTTTTTAAGGATTCTGTAAGGATACCACATTTTGCATGTTTTGTTTTTTTCTGTGGTAGACGGGCCATCTTGCTATGGAGACGTTGCTCTCTCTAACCTCCAAGAGAGCCGGGGATTGGTTTAAAGAAGAACTGAGGCTGCTGGGAGGTTTGGACCATATTGTAGACAAAGGTAGGCGTGTGGGATTCATAAGTCAGTCTGCTTGCCAAAGTCAAGTGGCGCAGCAGTTGACTTTTATGTGGCTGTCAGGATATGTAATGATCACGATCCTTGTGTGTGTTGTGTTGCCACAGTTAAAGAGTGTGTGGAGAACCTCAGCCAAGAGGACGACAAGGAGAACCTCGTTGCGTCTTTATGGGGGGCTGAGAGGTGTCTGAGAGTGCTTGAAAGTGTAAGTACTGCCCAGTCAAATTGGGTTCTCTCTCTTACCAAAGGCATACAAGAGTGACACTCAAGAACAAGAGTTGTCCAGTACTTAGAGCTGTGAATTGGATGAACCCTGATGAAAGACTTTGTTTAAGACACAGAATGTCTTTCTCACTATCACCTAAAATGTCAGTGATCAAAAGTTTGAACCAAACATGTCTCTCCCCTCATTTTCTGTGACTTGACTCCTTTCAGAGTACTTTCCCCTCTATTGATTTTAGTTCTCTTTCATCCTCTGCTAACAGGTGACAGTTCAGAACCCAGAAAACCAGGGTTACTTGATTGCCTACAAAGACTCGCAACTCATTGTCTCCTCTGCAAGGTGAGCACTACAAACAGCTCGGGGCTATTATTGACTGGACACGGGCACATACTGAGGCACTGACTATTATAGCAGCAGTTCACTCACTTTACTTTTTGTAACACTATAGTACCCATCATATTAAAGAGTGTCCTCAGGGGTATTATGGGTCTTGTCTGTTGATGAAAACATCTGCACCTTATTTAAGCGAGGGAGTAATTAGTAAAGCATAAAGCTAGGGTAGGCAATTTATTTCAGAAGCATGTGTGGGACTTGTAATCTAATTAAGCTTGGATTGATATCTCTCTATGGCGGAGGCACAGTAGCAGTCTGTGTCATGTCATAGAAGGTTATTTTGTGTTTTTTAATCTGCTCCTCATCTCCGTTTACGTCATCTCTTTCTCCTCCTTGTGCTTGTTTTCTTGAAAATGTGTGTCATTCCTGCCATTTCGCTTTGCTCTTGACTTTGGATGTGTTTTTCTTCTTTTCACCAGAGCTCTCCGGTACTGTGAGGATATGATCCAGCGGTACAGCAGGGCGTTAAACAACAGCTCCCTGTCATTGTCGGGTGCAGCGCTGCCCCACTGCAGCTTTAGTAATGTGGGCAAGGCGGTGGAGGACTGCATGAGGGCTGTCATAGGGGTGCTGCTCAACCTTACCCATGACAATGGTATCCTCAATCACAACTTTTATATTTTTTTGCATTTCCTATTTTTTTTTTTTTTTTGACTTCGTTCTGGTTTTATTGCTTTTATCTGGCACTTGTGGATATCAGGGGCTTAGCAAAGGGTCAGTATCATGGATAATTCTGATGTACTTTACATTCAAAGCTTCTATTGAGGTTTTTGAATGAAGCTTTGAATGTCTGGCTTGATATTTTAAGACGCCATGGCGCTTTAAATGATAAAAAAAATAAAATAATAATTTACCGAATAAATATGCAAAAAAAAAAGCTGTGCTGGAAATCGAATGTCATTGTTACAAATTAATCTTTTAACTTTTTGGTACAGCCCTAAAAGCACATTGTTCATTGCATTAAACATCAGTGTGATTATTTCCATATGTGATATTGGACTTTTTACGACCGTGTGATCTATAGTATGAGTACTGGAACATATTCATATTAATCTGGTCATTCAGGCTCAGCTGGTATACCTATAGATTTCACATTGAGATTAGGGTTGTTCCGATTAGTGATTGGATGGCTTATCGACGACTGAAGGGATGATCAGCTATTGGTTTTTCATGCGCCAATATTAAGGCGATTTCCTCTAACTCACTATCAGAACTAAGATGACATAAAAACAGTCTCTAGAATCTGCACCACACTTCAGTGTTTCCCATTCATTGATTTTTGTGGGGACACAACACGCCACAATATCAACGCTGAGCGCCACATACTACTGCGCTCTCTCTCAAACACATTGAAACCGAGTCGTGTGTTTATAGAAAAACTAATGCATTGAAGTTAACTCTGAGAAGTTAGTCTATCTATTTTCTTAAGACAGAGCTATCCGTGTCAGATACGGATATGTTAACGTTAGAATATAGCTGTATTGTTGAGGTTGACACGCTGTACATAGCTGCCATCGATTGCACCTTCCTTCTCCCCACAGTAATTATGTGGGAAATGCTGCACTGTGTATTTACAGATGTTTCTGTTGGTTTCTCTTAAAGCTAACAAGCCTGTTTCTTCCATGCTGGCATTTCACTGACTTGCTGCAACGTAACACCGACCCCTGGCGATCAGATCGCCAATCGGTGATCTAAAGGAGCCATGATTAGACGATATGAAAATAGAATCGATCACCCAACCTTAATTGAGATGTAATTTTCAGGTGCTTAGCAGGGAATTGCGTTAACTAGTATGAGCGTTAATGATGTTGTTAATATCTGCAGAGTGGGGAAGCACCAAGACCGGTGAGCAGGAGCAGCTAACAGTAACTGCTCTGAATTGCGTACTTCGAGTTCCGCGCTACATCCCCCAGGAGCAGCGCTTTGATGTGCGAGTACTGGTAAGGCGCTGTTGAATAAAACAACACGTGTTAAAAATATTATATTTACCAACTTGTGTTTTGCTCTGTCTGTGCCCATTCATACATTATTTGTATATTGTGTTGTGTATAACAGGGTCTGGGTCTGCTAATTAACCTTGTGGAGTACAGCTCCAGAAACCGCCACTGTCTGGTGGACATGGACTACAGTGTTGATGACACCTGTCTGGAAGAGAGCCTGATGCAGCCTGCTGACCCAACACAGTCTGACACAGCGGCGGCACCGCCAAGCACAGCTGAGACTCAGGGAGACGGGGCTGACAAGCCCAAGCCATCCGGTGCTTTGGCTGCCCTGGTGAAAGTAGGAATTGTGCCAGGACTCATTAATAAATATTTTTGCTGTCATTGTGGGGTTTTTTTTGTCTTTGCTAAAGGGGAGTTTTATGTATGTATTCTTTTGAAGTAAGGCTGCGAGCAGAAACACTGATGAGCAGTCGTAAAGAGAAATATATATTTTTACTATTCAAAGAACACTTAAACCAGTGTTTCATCTGTTTTCTTGGGAGGATCATTTAACATCACACTGATACACTAATGCATACAGATGATGCTATATTACTCTATCATCAATTCCCCTCTGTGCTACATACTTAACCACACAGACATAAGCTGTACCCTTCAGTGCATTTTTAGTCAGTGCAGAAGTCTGAAGATCCACACATTTGACAGTGTGAACACTGTAATAAACAAGTGTTAAGTTCATGCACACCTTTTTGTGGATTTTAACATTTTGTTTTATTACTGATATTACTTGAACCACTCTTTTGCCTAACTAACTCATTAACACAAGGTCTTTTGAAAGCCTGATTGGAACCTTTGAGAATAAATTAGTAATAAACTGCAAAAATTGCCTTTCACTTTCAAGACTTAAAGACTTGTTTCAGCATTTTTGGCATACCCAGTTGTATTCTGACCTCGCCATGAAGAAATACCTTGGTTATCACGCTTAACTGGTATTCCTTAATTCCCTTTGAATTATTAAAAACCCTCTGTGCTCGTGTTCACAGCTGTTTGTTTCTCTCTAAACCCCTAGCTCTTCCTGGAGAGGGAGCGCGCGGCCATCCTGGCTGAGGCTAAGACTGACGACCTCATCAGTGAGGCGCCCAAGCCAGCGCTGGACCAAAGTGGAGAGTGGCAGGAGACGTCGGGAGAGATCCAGTGGGTGGCAGCCGAGACCAATGACAGCCAGACTGAGAATAAAGAGAGTGAGAAGAAAGAGGAGGAGGATGAGGAGTTGGACCTAAATAAAGGTAGACGTTTGTGTGTGTGTTTGAAGTTGCTTTTGTGTGCATGTAAGAGGGGCGGTTTTCAGCTTTGGCTAAAATCTTAATCTAGATATAAATGTGGTTTATGTTATAGTAGTTATTACTGCATGACAACATCTTCATTACCCTTTTTTGCTTTTCAACTTATTGAAGTTGGAACAAGAAAAACGTGGACAAATGGAGGCAGCAGGGTGGGTTTCTTTATTTTTTGGCTCCACAAAAGTGCTTTATATACCACTGGATTACAAAGCCTTTAAACAGAAAATATCCACTAGAGCTGAAGCAATTAATCCATTAGTGATGGACAGAAAATAAATCTGCAACTATTTTGCTAGTGAATTGTCATTTTCACCCAAAATGTACCCAACATTACCTAGTTCCAGTGTTTCAACTGACATTCTTTTACCGTTGTCTGATATTTTAAGGTTCAAATGAGAATTTAGAAAGTAATGCAAATGAACCTTAAATAATTGTTATTTGCCCTTCCTAATACCCACATGATTTCTCTAGTCTTTACCAGAATACTGCAACTGAATTCTATGTTTTGTAGGAAATTGACATTGCGACCACTGAGCATGCACCATTTGTGTGTCTGATTCAGCTTATTGTCTGCAACTTAAATGTTTGTCCTGTCGCCCAAGCTTAGTATCAGTCAAAAAAGGATGAATTCACAATATAAAACAGCTTCTGTACTGCGTAACTACGTCATTCAGATGGTTGAATCGCAAGTTCACAAATGCAAACCTCTGTTCTTTACTTTTTTTTTTTGCTGTTCCTTTGAATGTAGCCACCAATAGGCACAGTAAAACAATTAGGACTTATTAGCTTATCATCATTAGCGACTTTTACTAAATGTTTTAGCCACAGTGCAGTCTGTTGGGTAACTGAGCATCAAATTACAGCTTCATACAAAGTCCTTCTCACAGGCATGTTTCCAGCCAACATTTGTTTCTATTCAGCGGTTCCTACAATAAGAGTTTGAAACCCTGTCCTACAAACGACGCAGTGTATGTATTTTGAATCTTTTCCTTTCTCCCTTGTGTTTGCTGCAGCTCTGCAGCATGCAGGCAAGCATATGGAGGACAGTATTGTTGCCTCCTACACTGCTCTGCTGCTGGGCTGCCTCTGCCAGGGCAGCCAGGTGAGAATATCAGACACACATGCACAATATGACTGGAGATTCTTTTTCCTACTCAAAGATATTCCTGTCGTTGCTCACCCACCTTTCTGTCCCTCTCAGATAAATGTGACTACTGTGAGAGAGCATCTACCTAAAGGGGATTTCTCCATCATGACAGAAATGCTGAAGAAGTTCTTGAGTTTCATGAACCTCACTGTGAGTATGACTGTCAGGAGATAGACCTTCTGTCGTCGGCATTGCATAATGATACTGTCACCACTATGAGAAAAGAAATGACACACACATATTAGAATTAAACTGTAGGGTTATGCTATAGTTTTATAAAAACCCAAAAATGTTGACGTGATGCTTCCCTACTGGCAAATTGCTTTGAAGATAGAAAAAGCCCTTTAATTGGACCTATTGAGCAAAAGCACATTGTGTGCAGTGTTGTGGCCTGGATCAAATAAGCATTTTTGCTGACCAGTGATTCTGTAAAACACCAGATTTCCCTTTAGTTTCAAATATAATTGCAGTTTTTGCACTCGTTTTCTGCATCTTCATTCAGCTCCTTTCTGAGAAAATCAAATTTGGTTTCAAATGGAAGCTTTTATTTCTGTTTGTTTCATTAATGCAGAGAGGAATGCATCATGTGTGAAATGGCTGAAAAGACCAACATATGAAAAGGCTCTCTGATTGTTGCTCATTTAAAATATCTCTCAGTAGCTTCTTAGCTGGTCTAAATTCACTTGCACAGCCTCCAGTAGCATTTAGCCTTTATAAAATACTGTGGCAGTAATGTGTCATTATAATACAAAATGCAGTCAATACATTTTTATTAATTCAATATGATTCTTCAAGCAGTATAATTCAAGTAGTGATATGAATGGTAATTTAAAAATAACTCGGGCATTAATATTAAACTGAACAGTTTCACAGTCACAGATGTGCATTTTGCGGCAGCTTTAACTGTGACTCATCCCGTCAGAACTGAGTACCGGAACCATCTGTTTCATAAATATCGCCTTTTCAAATTAACAGACGCTCAAACGTCCTCAAGAATCCTCACTGTCTGTTCCTCAAGACCTCACAAGTACAGTAGTATGTGTTAGCACCTTCACACTCATGTTTTTGTTTTTATTATTCTGTCTCCACACACAGTGTGCAATGGGCACCACAGGACAGAAGTCCATCTCGCGGGTCATCGACTACCTGGAGCACTGTTAACAGACGGCCAGACAGCGAACTCACACTCTGCTCATTAAAGGGAACCCAGGCTATTCTGGGCCGCCCCACCACCACCACCTGACAGGAGCCACAAGTGGTGATTGGAGACTAGGCAGCATTCCCTTGACTTCACCAGATCACCCAATGCTGTGATCTCTCTGAATTTTCTCCAATAAAGGCGTACGCTGATGTAAAGTTACACTCCCTCTCTGGAGCACAGCCTGAACCAAAGCCCTGCTTAGCCGACAGACGAGCATATTCCTTCAGTTCCACTCAACTAACGCTTCATTCAGAGTCAGATCGAGAATCATCCTCCGGTAACGGGGAATCAGGCAGAGGCTAGGCTAAAGTTTCAAAAAAAAAAATCTGGAATGTCAAAGCACAGACCTCTTCTTCTTGAAACGTCCCATAAGGTCTGGCGGCAACAGGCCGGTGGAGTCTCCTGTCTGGTCTCAAGCCCTGGCCGCTTAGCTGGAGCGTGAACCACAAATTTTATCAAGTGGTCATTAACATTTTAACCTCTACTCAGCCCCATCAAAGCCAAGGGTGAAATCATTGATTAGCATGAGAAACAGTACTTTTCATGGATGTTAGGATGACATCTGTGTGTAAACTTGTGTGGAATGCATACACCCTTTTACATGTACATGTTTGCAGTTGGCTTGACGGGGTGGGTGTGTGTTGGGGGGGAGAGTATTTTTAAGCTTTTATTTTTATGTTCTCATCGTACCCGTTCATTTTATAAACTGCGTGTAGGCATCCTCTCACATGTTTTTAGATGTTTGGTGTTTATTTTTCCTTGAGGGCATTTTTCTTCACCCAAATAATGAATCACTTTTAAAGAAATCAGGACTGCGTGATGACTTTGACAGGATGTCTCTTATTTGACTGATAATGGCATTTGGAAATTAGATGCCATTATGAATTTTGGGTTTTCCTCTTACTCATTATCAATTTTAGTTTGTTTAGATTATTTAAAGTTCAATTAATTAATAAGTGTGTAATTACAGTATGCATTTAAACTCACATGTATGTATGTAAGATGTGATGAAATGCTAAAAAAAAAAAAGATGGTTGTGCTCTCTTTTTAATTTGCAATGAACTGCATTTTTTTTTTTTAAATGTATTTAATTTAATGCTTTCTCCTTTGTTTGTAAATGCCAAGCCTTTACCTAGTGAGATTCCATTGTGTCTAAAGTTGTTTCATTAGAAAATATCCCATGTTACACAGCTCAGTGGCTGGACATTTAGCACATGTACATGACTTATTTGATGGCAAATTTCATCACAACTTGCTGCATTTAATAAAATAGAAGTCATTTTTATGCTCATGTTAATTGGCGATAGGGATTCCCTGACATCTGCATGTTTCTCTATGTCCAGCCACATGTAGCTTCATGTTTTTACTCATTGTATCATGCTGTCTCTGCATTGGACAACATGCATTAATCTCCCACTTATTTATTCTTTTGTGGAGTCATTCTACCTGTAATGGTGCACATGAACCTTTCTAAACTCCTCCGCCTTGTACTGCTCACATGTATGATCACTGATTTGAATAACAGCCATACCTGTACACGCAGATTAGTTTGATCTGGTTTGTAGGGCTGCAGTGAACACGACTGCAACTGTGTTTACTGTTAATTACTTTGCAAAATTCTGGTCTGAATGGAATTTTAGAATGTAAATACTCCTGTACATAGCGGTCAATGGACATTTAAAAATGCTTAGACTACTTTTTTTCCCCTGAAGCTGATATTTTTATTTTATACAATATTTCTGAGTTGTTATTTGGAAAAACAAAATTCGCAGGAAGAGGATAAAAACATTGTTTGTACCCGTTTCAAGGACATTGTCTTTGGTTACATGTAAATAGTTGTATCTCAAAAAGAAAAAAGTTGCTACTTTCAGTACACTCCCCATGTGTTTTCTTCCTTGAATTGTTTGAACAACAGGAGTGCTTTTGTTCATTTCCAGAGTTGTAAATTGAACTTTTTTTTTTTTTTTAGGCATTCGGAGCTACGGGAGGTAAACACTTTACCGAACACAAGTGATGTTTAGTTTCCTTTTGGTATTCGTGTGTGTAGTAGCCGCTGAATGCTCAACTTTGTATTCTAGCTTGTCTCTTTGCCCGTTACTGTGTGTGTGTGTGTGTGTGTGTGTGTGCGTGTCCGTGTCCGTGTCCGTGTCAGACCCCCTGTTTCTTTCATCCCTGACAAACTGGCTGGCATGGAGTGAGAGTCCAAAGCGTGGTCGGTATACTTAACAGCACTCTGCGATGACAGTTTGTGGACATAGTCCCTCAGCTTGACTGACTGCTGCATAATGGAAACAAAAGATTCATGTTGCAGTTGCTAGCCGAAAGTCAAACTTACAAATAGCTCGGGGAGCCTAGGGAATGTAGTGAAATACTATCTGGCAACACAGATTCTATGCAGGCGACAGCTGTGTCAACCATGATACAACTAGCGGGCGCAAACACAGGCTTTAATTCTGAAACGTCAGGCATTGACAAGACGGGGTAACAAGTAAACTGCACAGATAACATGTAATTATGTCTTTGTCTCATCGCACAACATGCAAATACATGATGAGACTGGAGGTAGTGCAGATTTAAATTCCAAAGAGCATGTAGATGACAAGGCACCTCTGCCTTTCATCCTCCACTATACATTATACATGACAGTTTTTCTGTTGTAGGAAGTCAAAGGCAGAGAGAAATTCCCCCTGTGATGATCAGTGCCAAGGAAGTGGATGAGAGTAAACACAAGGGGGAGAAATTCACAGCGTTTCCTTTAGGTGTACCGGCTTGATAGGATATCTTCCACTGAAAGAATGCAAGGGAGGGAAGAATGAGGGAGAAAAGGATGCAGAGCACGGAGGATTAAAGTTTCCCAACTGCCAATCAAAAGCCTCAGTGAAGCTGCGCAGCCTGAGGCAGAGAACTGCGCCCCTCCCCAAGCATTCATCTGTCTCTGTCCATGACTCAATTGTCTTTTCAGCCTTGCCCTCTCTCCTGTGCTCATGCTGTTTAAGTTTTTTTTATAACCTGTTGGCTTCTTGTTTCCCGTGGTAGTGTTTACCGCAAGACCTGCTCCCAACAAAAATTATCTATTTAACTCCATGTGACTCCAGTGGATGTTTGATTCCATGCCCGCGTTGTTGTGAATGCAAAGATTGAATGGGACATTAGTCTACTGGTGGAAATAGTGTTTTGTTGTCTTTTCATCTTCATGCCGTTTTCTCTGAAGGCAAAATCATTACAAAGCTTGAATGCCACTAGGTGGTGTGAGTACTCAGCCTCTGACCGCAGAGCCTGAACGGCTGAAGTGAAGTGCACACACCCACACACATTTTTGTGTACTAGCGCACACACATACACAAGTACCTTCTCATCAGTGGTGTTGCCTACTGATTTCCCCTCAAGCTGTAAGAACTCTGCTGTCTTTGGAGAGATAAACGCCCTCGTCTTGCTGATGCAGTCACTCACACACCGGAGAGTGGTGGAACATTTATGAAGAAACTCGAGTGGCCGACCATCAACACCCTTATTCAGTAAATTTAAATCAAGCTGTCACACGACGGAAACGTTTTACCACCTGTGTACCTGTGTGTATCGCACGAAACACAGATGGGACTGTGCAAACCCATTTGTCTCTTAAATCTGCAGAGCTATGAGTGCTTTTAATGACAGTTTTGTGGGTGAAGATTTAAAAAAAAAAAAAAGGACACTGGCCAGTCTTGCTTTTGGTTTCAGGGAAGTTATATTCATATCTTAGCATTTCTAATGTGTGTTTACTTCAAGGATACACATCCACTCTCCCTACGTCTGTTAGAAGAACTGGAGCATTTAGGCATAGAGGAAAGCAGGCTTTTAAAACAAGGCTGGAAGATGTATTCAGATCTCTTAAGGAAAGGTTAGCGCTGCCACAGTGTAAAAATACTGCATTCACAATTTTACTTCAGAAAATGTACAGATAAATTGTCCGCCAAATGTAAATAAAGGATAAGGCTGGCAATATGTATATTTTATATTGTCAACAAATACCATAAACATACCAAAACCAACAGTGTGTTAAGTCTCTTTCAAAACTTTCAGACTTCTCCAGTCTGTCTTTTGCTCTGATCATCATGTCTGTGGATAGGAAAGATCAGGATGGGTTAACGACGTGCGAATATTGTCCTCACAGGATAATACAACACTATATCCACAACATTTTTTGGCTATATTACATTGGATGAGGCACTGGCTGATTTAAGGTGTCCATGTTTGCTTGGTTTTCAGGCACTTGGTATTAAGTTCCAAGTTGGATATTGGGGCTTTCAGAAAAAAAATTGTCATCACGGCAAGTTGGAAGTTGCGGTGAATGCTATTTACAATTTACGATAGATAGGACATGAACCTGGCATGCGCCCCAAGCCCACTGCTTCCTGCTGAGGATGTTAATATTTAAAAACTACTCAGACTACTCAACTATTCCATATTTCTTTTTTTAAGGCTCAACCTTTGCGCTGTAGTATTTATTTATTTATTTTCCAAATACTATTTAAACAGGGTGAAACAGTGCACTTGTTGAGAACGGATTATAGTTTTGAAAACCACTGAGCTCCACAACACAGAAATGTAGCTCTATCAAGCTTTGGCTACAGAGGAGATACATGTTAGAAGGATCCATTCATGTTTGGTTTTACTCTCTTTACAGGATTTTCTTGACAAGAAAAGTACAGACTATCACCAGACTTAAGTACTCATTATACTGTCTTCTTACAATGTTATATTACCTTATTGGATTAGTATTACGAATGCATTAACATGTGAGCAGTGTTGTAGCTGGTCAGTGTGGAGCTAATTAAGCCAACTTTGTATTCTGTTTGGGCTTATAACAATCAATTTTTTATAATAGCTGTCAAATAAATGCAGCAGGATGAAAAGTGCTATATTTACCTCTAAGTAAAGTGGCATTAGGTGAGTACAAGTAACTCTATTCTGTACCGTTTGCTTGAGTGCTTGGGTAATTGTACTTAGTTACCTTTCTAAACTACTGTTAAGAGCAACTATTTTCCCTAACAATTTATATGTCAAGACAAATTAAGTCAGAGGGTAAATGGTGAAGCTGAACTGGGTGCATTATCTTGAAACTGCAGGAGAACCTACAACCAACCCTGAGCCTCACACTGTCAGTAGAAGGGGAACTTTGCACTTGACCTCACTGTTGAGCGGTGATAGAGCCGGCACTCACTGAGTTGTGTACAGGCCTTGGATTATTTTGCTTTTACTACAAAGGATTTATTCAAACTGTTTGCCTACCACTGCCGCCCTATTCTGCTGCCGCAGCACACTCTGCTTTGCAGCGTAAACGATGCTTTCACTGGTGTCTTGTTTACTCGCACACACATATGCACACATTTGCAGGTAAACACGCAGTCAGCCAGGCGTATGGTGGAAAAAAATACACACAGGCCTCCAAACACCTCGCAATAGAAGCAGTGAACAAAGGCACGACAGCAGGTACACTTGCACTGCGTCAAATATGTAAACACGCTGCCACAAATACATTCACACCCCATCAAAACAAATCCAGTACATATCCCTCTCTGCTCATACACGTGCAGGTAGCTCCTCTTGTTAAATTTCACCCCTTAAATCACTGAGTGGCAGGCCAGAAAGGCTCTCGTCAGCCCATCTGTATTCCTGGGTGTGCGTGACCTGCACTCTAACGGATGGGCTTTGTCCACAGGCGAGCCAGATGAGGAGCAGAGCAGAGTGGTAGTATCACTACCGCACACTGCCTCTGCCTTTTTCTATTCTCCACCTCCAGGCTCAGTCAGCCTCCTTTCTGTATTTGGCGGCAGGGAGGAGGCTGATGAGTGTTGCGTGGGCTCGGCATGATTGCCGTTTGCGTGTGTTTATGTCTGTCCATCTGTGTTCATAGGCATTTGGGCCAGAAGGTGTGTGTGTTTATGTAGTGTGTGTGAAGCTCTTGGGTCAACTGCAAAGAGTTTCATTTCAATGCACAGCATTAATCACTGACACACTTCTGCATAAACACACTGCATACATTCACAAGGTAATCCCCACAGCACACCAAAGCACCCTCAAAATACACATTCACAAATAAGTAGCCGGGTGATAATCTCTTTGATTTTCTATAGTGTTTTGAATCTTAAATTCTTTTTACACGACTGATTCTGATGCCAGTTGCTGTGAAAAGAGGCTGAATGTGTGGGTTGGGTTGTAAGAATGTTACAAGGAGCTCAGCGACACTTAAGAGATGGTAATTAACAAGTGATTTAAAGATTCCCTTACTGCAAAAGCTATGCATGCAGATTGTTTGCACACAGTTAACGCATATACTTATTTTATTATTTATTTTGTCTTAATTTGAAGGGTAAGCGAGAGAAAGAGGTTGTTGACATGCAACAAAGATCCATGTATCTTATCTTTATCTTGGAGATATCTTAGATACTTAGCCCATCTATGCTGATAATTTATCTTGCTGTTTAACTACTGAAACTCATTTATTTTCACAGTAGATGGGTGTATAGTGTACAGCACAGTTCCAGGTTTTCTTCAGTGGAAGATTATTTCTGTCTACTGGGGCTATCGTATTTTAAAGGAGTAGGCTACTCCAGTGATATAGAATTGCACTTCTATAAAGTTGAGGGACTCACAGGAAACATTTTAAAAAAGAATGGTAAAAATATTGATGCAGCAGAGGCTGATATATCCTGACCTTTAGTCCCTCTGCATCAAGCTCCAGAAACACTGGACTTACCATAATGCACCCAACAGAAAGTGAAAGCAGAGACTCAAGGGATGTAAAAAATAATTAAATAAATAAAGTCTTAGACTTGACAAAGCTTCTCCAGAGCTGCAGAAGACATTACACAAGAGTTGTCACAGTTTGACTAGTC